AGTTGTATAAATGCAGCTCATTACTCAGCTAAGGGGAACTGACTTTCTAGGTAGGTTTTGAAAACAGAGGGATCATGAGTCAGAAGGTGTGGAAACTGCGCGTTTTATGACCAGACCCGAACCCAAGTTCTCTGTTCCTGGAATGGAGTCTATACCAGCTTTAAAAGTAATCTGCTTCTTTTTCTAACTATATTGTGTATTTTGCTCCTATTTTCTCTAAGGACTGCAGAAAAAACTGTTTTCATTTATTTGGAATATTTATCTCAACCCATCAATAAAAACAAATTCACATTTTCCTTAAAAATACAACAAAGGTGGAACATGCTAGACTTTCCTTTTTGCTCCTTTACTTCCAGTTCAGGAGTTCCTTTATTCACTCTGATGTTAAATCTACTTGTATTAGAGAATCCTTTTTATCTGAGCAAATCTTATTCCTTAGCAATGAATCTCAGAACATTGTGGGGTGATTGTATAAAGCCATTGCTTTTTCTTTATTGCCCACTAAAGAAACATTTATGATTAAATGGGAAAGGGAACTATCTCATTCTCCTGAGCTGGAGATATTGGACTCAATAATGTCCTTCATACGTGTATGCTCTATTTCAGCTAACCTGTTAGAATTGCAATATAAAATTGTAAATCAATGGCATCAAGCACCTGTGAAGATGAGTAAGATTGCAAGTCATTTCTCAGATAGATTCAGAGAAACAGCTCCCAGCCAAGAACTCTTTTACATGTTCTACAGGGTCTATCCTAAATTACCCCAATAAATTCACTTGTTATACATCATATTGAGAAAATTTCCAGCTGTCTGATGTCAAGTACTCAGAAACACTATACATAGGGACACTTGGACTTTGGGGTATGTGACGTACAACTGGATATTAATAAAAATTGAGTTACAGGCTATCCAGCTGGTTATTTACAGAGCTAAAAATTCAGAATCTTCTTCAATAATGAAAGGGGATCCTTAGGAATTTGTTAGAATCTGTTCTGTTTAGCTATAACTGCAGAAAACGCATTATTTCTATACAAGGTGTTCCTTTATTGATTACTTTTGTGCTGGCAGGAATACTTAAATCCAGCTACTCATAAACACTTTATGGGCTAGAAAGAAGGAAAGTAAGAATTTTGTTTGTTTTTCTTGTCTTTCTGTAATCACAATGGTATCTCTTTTTAAGCATGTCATCTTCTGCTTGGCTGATTCTCTTGTAAGGGCTTTAATAACATGAATTTAATATAAAGTACACTTTTGTACCTACAAATATGTATCCGTCAAACCCCTTACTTCCTGCATTTTGGAATAAATTGACTAAGATTTATATATGTGAAATATCCCCAGACCTTACAAAAGCAGAGTTGTTAGTACCCAGGCATGCTTTTTACCTCCACAGAGCTTGGAGATCAGTGCAATGTAAAACTCGGCATTGCAGACAGAAAATATAAAATAAAAATACACCCCACCCAGCTGATTTCGGCCCCACTGACAGAGCTGACAGCAGCCACTGAGCACACACTGTCACAAAGGTGTTCTCCCTCTCGCTGCAGAGGACACCAGAAGGAGGAGGAGGCTATGTCTTAGTGTATCAACCTGGTGGTTCATGCTGCTCTGGGAGACTGATGGTAGGTCTGCTACTGGAAAAGGGATTAGAATGTTACCTAGAAGAATGCAAATAAAAGGAGTCAAAGAATGGATCACAGAGGGGAGAAACTCCAAGGAGAGGCACCTGCATAGATGATAGCATCACAGAGGTCAAAACATCTTCTTGGGGCTTTGGATTCAAAAATGTGAGGCAAAAGCTATAAAGCTAGAAAGGAAAATGGTGACTTCTTCACTTGGTGTCTTTGACTCAAAAATGGTTTCTAGAAGATGCTTGCTCATTTATGAGTCATGAGGCTTAATTACATAAAATTGCTTGACCTGTGTTATACCTCAGGTTATGTTACCTAAAGGTATGTTCTGACCTTAAATTTTATGAATCTGCATAAAGTAGCTGTAAGGAAAGAACAGCAGAATATGATGTTGTTTCACTGATTTGATTTACAACAGTAAATTTGCATTTACTGTCTTAAAAGTAACTGTACTGAATGCAGTTGTGTGATGGAGTTGTCACTGTGAGTCAAAAAGAGGTGAGCATGTGTTCTGAATGACCAAGATCACATTTACAGCAGGACTGATGTTTACCAGCATAGCTCTATAGAGTTGCCAGCCCTGACAGGCATAACTGTGTGAACAGAAGCCTCTGGTAGAGACACAGTTGTACCAGTAAAATGGTATTTTTACCAATAATATTTTATGCCAGTGCTGGGAGATGGTTTTATTCTATTAGCAGACAGTATCCATATTAAACTGCTTAGGATTTTAGTATTCACAACAAAATACTCCCCTCAGTGATTCCTAAACCAATCAATTTTGTTGGTGCTGCCAAAGAAAGGGCATATAACGGGCACTGGCAACTATCAGCTTTGTGCCACACATGACAGCATTTAATAAAGAGAGAGTACAGAGAGAGTCCTGGAGAAGTCCAGGCTAAATCTGTTGGCCAAATAGTTATGGCAGGGAGGAGTGTGAAAAGATCAGGCTGATCAAAGTCAGAATAAACAATGACTAACAAAAAAGTTCTTTCTCAAAAACAGTTTCTGTCATTCCTAGCAAAGGTTTAACAATACTGGCAAAAGTGATACTGGAATAAATTACCCTGACCCCGTGGTTTTTGTAATTACAACTATACTGGAAAATTCTTTGTGGTGTAAACTAGCTCTCAGAAAAGACTCTAGGGGAAAGGGTGAAGGGTGATAACAGTTAGCACTTCATTCAGGAGCAGGGAATGAGGAGGGAACATCACTGTTTAGGTCTGTAAGTGTAGGCCAGATGCACCAGCCTGATCAGACTGTGAGCAATTCTTAAGCCTTGCCCATGAAAGGTGTGGGTGTTACTCTTTATTTAGCTGTGCTCACAGCTTCCATTTCCAGGGAGTTCCTAGGAGGTAGGTGTGCATGGCTTAAGGACCAGCCTGGCATGTTTGGTCTCTACTGAGCTGGTGCTCAAAAGTGCAACTCTTTTTCACTGTTCAAATCCAGGCGCTCTATAATTTGGAAGGGCATGACCACCTTTACTCCACCTTCATAAAGTTGTGCAACATTCCATGCCCTTAATTAGTTTTTTTCCTTTTTATGATACATAAACTTCTTGAAGCCTTTCAGTACTCTGGTGCAGTTTCTTCTCTGTGACTAGTTCTGCAGCTTCAGCTATAGAGATGACTTTCCTGCTCAAAGGAGGTTTATACAACTCAGTGGTTGCATGTTATGCTTTCACTGCATCTGCACCACTCTCGCCTGAGCCCTTCTCCTCACTGAGGAACAGGACTCAAAGCCTGAACCTCAGGGCATTCAGAAACAATTTGAAGGTGATTGTGGGAATGTGTCTTTAAGTAAGATGAACCAAGGGTGATGGGTTTGGGGAAGCAAATTTCCCTGGCTGTTCTGACTGCTTCTTCTCTCTCTCTCTCGAGTTGTTGTGCCATTTGTGCCTCATGGTGCTGCTCACAGTGCTCACCCACCACAGGGATTTTCTCCTTATTTCAGCACTGAAGCTCTTCCTTCACTCGTCCCACCATCACCCCTGCTGTCTGTCCCCCACTGCAGCAGCTGCCAGTCTCACGTGTGTGCCGACATCCCACGCAGGGCTGTGTGGTACTTGGTTTCACTCCTCCTCTCGGGGAAAACTTGAAGGACTGGCAGTGAGGCAGGAAGGTGAGGGCCCTGGGAAGGGTGTAGGCACATCTCTAGAGGCCGGGAGAAGCAAAGGACTAGAGAAAAGATTGCAATCTCTGCTTCAAGGCTGTGCTTTGTGCCTCAGAAAGGACGGCGCTGGCACCCAGCAGGTCTGGAGAACGCTGAAGTAGCCCATTCCTCTCCATGAGGTGTGCAAGCAGCCCAAGGAGATGAATACAGCTGGGAACACTAATCCACAGCTGGAGCCTGTGGATAAGTGAACTGCTTTCTGCAGTTACTGCGCGTTCTTGCTTGCCCTTTCCAAGGAATTCGGGCTCACTCAGGCAAAGGAGAAGGGCTCAGCTGCCAGCGGAGGTGGGAGCAGCGCACATCCAAATTCGCTCCCGAGGAGGGGCTGGTGCGGAGCCGGCCGTGCCGGGGAGAGGGGCCCTGCAGCTCGGTGTGCCCAGCGCTGCCGGCCACGGCCCAGCTGCTCCCAGCCCGGGCATGGGCGACGCTGCTCGGCTTAGTTTGCTGCGGCCCATGGAGACGGGAGCCGGGTGAGGCGTGCACTGGCTGCTGCCCTGCTCCAGGGAGGAGCAAACACCCAGCGGGAAGCCCAGTGGGACTCGGGCCGGACCAAAACTTCGGCAGGGTTGTGGGAGACGCCTGGCAGAGCTGTGCTGGGCGACTCCTCGGTCAGGCGGCCTCCGGCTTGGAGTACGAGCACCGTGCAGCGCTTGCTGAGGCACTGGGGCGGTGACTGGCTTGGGGACATTCACAAGGGTCCCTTTTGGAGATGGAAGCACTGCTTGGCGAGAGCTGTGTTTGCTTTTGCTGGCACAGAGAGGGAGATTTATAAAGCAAGCAAACAAACAAAAAGCCACAATGGCTGAAACAGTGAATTCAAATATCACTTACACTCATGTCTTGCAAATTTGCCCCACAAGAAATGTTATTTTAGCGCAAAGATTTTGGGAGTGTGAGCAACGCAGATCCCAATTTGTCGCAATAACACTTAATATGCCAAGAAGTATTTATATGGGACCCCAAATTGAGTGGGTAAATAAAGCGTCTGTCTTTAAATCGATTCAGTCCGGCTCTGTGCAGCTAAGTACCCTGGCCCTGCTACTGCTCAGGATGATCCCTGCAGCGGTTTGCGAGCACCGGGAGCGGCCGCCGTGGGGCCGCGGGCAGGCCGGGCCCGGGCCCTGCTCCGCCCGGCGCCACCTCGCGGCCGCCCGCCCGCCCGCCGCGCGCCCGGTGCCTGCCGGGAGCGGCCGCCATGTCGCGCACGGCGGGCTGTGGGCATGGCGGGGAGCGCTGCCCTCCGCGCACGGACCCGCCGCTCTGCCATCGCACCCGATCGGAGTTCAGGTGACTGCCTGCTTCTTGTGTTCTGGCTGTGCTGTGCCAGGTCATCCGCGCAGTGGTGCCACTGGAGCTGCGGTGCCCTATGCCACTTGCTGAGCTGGTGACACTGCCTGCCAGGGTTGTTTTTTCTGGGGCAACATTTTCCCCCATGGCTGTCCATCCCTTTCTTGTTCTACTCAGAAGTGTTTTCCTAAAAGATATCACCATTTAAGTTCCCCGTGTTGGAATCCATTGTCTGTAGAGAAAACGCTTGAGGTAATAGGAGTTACTATAAATCATGGTTACCTTGAAGGGGCATAAATGGAAAAAACCCTGGAAAATACTAAAAACTTTTATTTGGGGTACAAAGAGCACAGAAGCTAAGTTGTTAAAGGGTTACAAATACCAATGGAAAATCAATAGAGGGATTAAACAGGAGTACTGGTTTTATCACACCCTTAAGTCTTGTTCTATAGATATATAGCAAGACCCTTACTAATCTCTAATAAAAGTTCTCAGGGCTGAGGTGTATCTTTGCTCCATTCCCCATTTGGTGGGCATTAAGTCTGTTTGGTGATGGAGATTTGGGAGCAGGCAAGGAAGCAGCTGTGATCCCACTGATCCACCAGGACATGTTGGGTGCTGCCAATGTCATACGAAGTTGTAGTTGCCACAGCCTTGACAGGCGATGTTATAGCAAGTCAGTGTTCTGCATTCTTTTGAGAACTTGATTAACTTGATTTTTTTTTTTTAATTAAAGTAAGTTTCTGTAAGTATTTTGACAAGGTTAGAAATGTTACTGAAGTATACACTTCAATGGACAGAATGCTAGATGATCCAGACAGCCATTGCTTGTTTTTCAGTCCCATTATTAGGGTAATATTTGACTTGGGAAAGGGTCTGACGTCTGTTTTTGTATTTCCTTAGGTTTGCAGTACTACCTGACATCATACCTGAACTGTGTCCTAGTATAGTTTCTCTGGGTGTGGAAAAAAATCAATGCTTGGAGCCACTGTACACTGATTTACAGGAAGATTCGGGATATCAATATTGCAACCAACATGGATGTGTATGCATTGTGGTTGTATTGTCATTGTACCTGCATTTTCTCCAAAAGCTTACATCACATCAGAAATTCCTGCGCATTCAAAGCTTCTACATAAATGTAACATAAAGAATGGAGGGATTCTGATGAATATAACTGCCTTCTTGAACATGTGTCAAGCCATGGCTGTAGAGAATGGAAGAGTGAGTTTGTATACAGAGTTCATGATTTTTCTCCTTTGTAAAAGCAAGAGCAACTGGAAAAAAGGTGTAAGTTTTAAAATTCACATGGCTCAAGTGCCTTACTCTAGGAGTTGGAGGAAAGAACCTCTTAGCTGTACTGCTACCACTTACGTGTATTTAAAAATAGACAGCACAAAGACTGTGTATACTTCATGTGTCTTGCAGTGTGAATACAACTTTGATGGTTTATGCCATGTCCAAAACAAAAAGAGATCCTGTACCTTCTTGTCTAACAAAAGGTTTACTTGAGAGGGGCAAAAGCTCAGCTGAAATTGAGACGTGTTGCTTCCCCTTCTCTAATTCAGCTCAGAGTATATCAATTCCCAGATAAAATTTTTCAGACAATTAAAAAGGGATCCTTCAGTAAAACTGTATTTTTTACAGATACAGTATGTGAGGAGGAATATTTTCCCCAACATTTTCTTTCTCCAGTGTCATTTTTATGTGGCTATCATGTAGATAACAGCAGGGAATTCCACTTAAGGAGATCCTTAATGGATTTAACTAATGGTTTCTTTGTGATGCTCTCAGACAGTTCTCCTGTAATGTGGATCCTCTAAATATTTAAATCCACCATTGAAGCATTTAATAGGAAGAAAGTCTCCTACCATTAGAATAAAGAAAAGGCTTTCATCTGGAAACAATACCAAAACAAAATCTGATTTGTACAACTGCACCAAGAATCCAAGCCCACTTACTCTGTGAGGCAGCTGGTACAACAAGGACCTAGGGTGCCAGGTAAACAATAACCAGTCATTTGTATATTCAGACAATATCTGTCCTTCGTCCATATTTTCGAGAGCTATTTGTATTGATTGTTGGTTTGACTGATCAATTAAACTGATAAGATAATACTGCTACTTACTGTTGGTACAGGGAGACTGCCTAACCCATGGGCTTGTGGAATCTTGAAAATAGTGGATCGGTTACCCTGGGGTGCTTCTCCTTGTTTTGTCTTCTGACACTGTTTCAAAGTGATCTTTTTTACTGTTCTATCCATTATCCTCCTTTTCTGTTTTTCTTACAAGTGGAGCCTAATGTTTGTCGAGTTCCATAAAATATTTGAGCTGGAAGGAAAAACCTTTTAGAAATCTACTTACTGTACTGTCAAGACCCAGTTTTTTTCTCTACTGTCGCTTGCTTGGGAAGAACAGTCACTTCAGAAACTAACACTGGTCCTTAAGCTGTCTGCTTAGTGCTGGATTTTACCATGTTTCCCTTGCACAAAGAAGAAAATCTACTGTTTCAATCTAGATTGTTTCTGAAAATGATAAATAATAGAGAAACAAAAGCTCCCCATAGCTTCCATTCAATCGAACAAAACCATAGAGGTGCAGTTGCCCCACAGGTGCTTTTGTGCTATATAAAATACATCCCTACCTTTTGAATACATAGAACTCCTTGAAAAGAATAAATATCACTTTCAGCTAAGTAAATCTGTTTATTTTGTTCTGCACAGTTTGGACAGGGACATTTATTTCTGCAGATGATATTAATACATTTGTAGGATTTTTCTGCAATCTCTTGACAATCTGTGCTGTCTAAATCCACTTGTAACCTGTTCCATATCTGGCCCTTAAATATAGACACTTCAAAAATCTTATTCTCTGATATTTCTGTGATGCAATTATTTTCTGCATTTCCGTCACTTGGTATTGTTACGCATATGAGCACATAGAGCCTTTCTGAATTCTTGTGTGCACAACCATGGTATAAATTATACACAATATAAGCGGTAAAGTTTCTCACTTGCTGTGGAAGCTGGCCTTCCAGAAAGGGCACACTGGACCAAGTTGCCGAGAATGGCACCCTCATTTGGCTCTAATGGGGAGTTTCTCTGAGAAAATGAGCAGGCACACTTAGATTTTCCTTCTTGTTGTATCTCAGCATCGTTAGCGATAATGCAGAACTATCAGTATGTTCCTCTCACGCTTGTACTTTATGTTGCATGGATACACTCAAAGGCTCGAATTAAAGGCTTTCTTGCTATCCTACCCACTGCCAGAAATGGAGTGTCTGTTTTTAAACCAGGTGCTGTATCTCCTGCAGTTATGTAAACCAAAGAGAGCCAACAGAAAATGGCTACTGGATAGCAACATCTATGTAAATCGGTGCAGATGGTGAACTAGTAGCACTTTGTATCCCCTTGCAGAGCAGAATATGCCTGCCCCAAAACAAAAATGGGGTGAAATTTATTTTGGGGGAAGAAAAGCAGTAATCAGTTGGTACGTGGAAACTGCTGTTACTTGGATCCATTTAAAACTTTTTTACTCCAGGTGCCTGTGTAGGTTATTATGTATGTAAAGTATGTTATGCATTTATGCTCTTGCAGCCCCAAAAGCCCACTGTATCCAAAGCAGCCTGGCCAGCAGGTCAAGGAAAGTGATTCTACGCCTCTCCTCTGATCTAGTAAGACCCCTCTCAGAGTGCTGCATCCAGCTCTAGGGTCTTCAGCACAGCACTGACCTGTTGGAGCAGCTCCGAAGGAGGATCACAAATATGATGAGGGGGCTGGAGCATTTCTCCTATGAAGACAAGGGTGAGAGAATTGGGATGGTTCAGCCTGGAGAAAAGAAGGCTATAGGGAGACCTTAGAGCAACCTTCCAGTACTTAAAAGGGGGCTATAAAAGAGCTGGAGAGGGACTTTTTACAAGGGCATGTAGTCATAGGACAATGGGAAATGGATTCAAACTGAAAAAGAATAAGATCAGATAAGATACTAAGAAAAAAAAAAAAATCTTGTTGTGAAGGTGCTAAGGCATTGGAACAGGTTGCCCAGACATATGGATATCTCATTCTTGGAAGTGTTCCAGGCCAGGTGGTATGGGACTGAGCAACCTGGTCTAGTGAAAGGGGCCTATGTCCATGGCAGGGGGTTAGTTTAGGGAACTAGATAGTCTTTAAGGCCCCTTCAAACTCAAACCATTCTATGATTCCACAATTTGCATAGTGGTTAAAAAGCAGAGAATGACAAGTGTTGAATTAATGATAAAGGGCACTTCACAGAATCAGAGAACGGGTCAGGTTAGAAGGGACCACAGTGGGTCACCTTGTCCAACCTCGCTGCTTAAGCTGGGTTATCCTAGAGCACATGGCACAGGATTGTGTCCACATGGTTCTTGGATGTCTTCAGTGAGGGAGAATTCACAACCTCTGTGGGCAGCCTGTTCCAGTGCATGCTCACCTGCACAGTAAAGAAGTTCTTCCTCACATTCAGGTAGATCTTCCTGTGCACCAGTTTCTGTCTGTTGCCTCTTGTTCTATTGCTTGGCACCACCAAGAGGAACCTGGATTCATCCTCTTGACACACTCTCTTCAGATACTTATGGACACTGATGAGGTCCCCTCAGTCGTCTCTTAGGCACCTAACTCCTGATTTTGTGCCTTTATGCCTTTGTAAACCTCCAATTCTTACCTAATTTATATATGTATTTACTTTTGAAGGTGTTACTTATTTAATCCATGAGAGCAAAGAAAAGATATAGTACTAGTCTGAATGGGTACAGGAGCAAATGCCTCCAAAAATAGTGTGTTTTTTTTGGAGAGGCCCATCTGTGAAATGCTGCTTTGTGCTGACCCACAATTTATGCAGCTTTTGCCCAAATCTATCAGACGAAGCTCTTTAAATGGCTTAAAAATAGTTTGTAAGTGTTACAGGCATTCAGTCAAATTAGTCACTTAGTCAAATCATCCTTTCAACTGGTGCTTTCAGCAAATGGTTAAAACATCATTTGAGGAAGGACCAGGTGTATGATCTAATGCCTGAAAGCAGCTCATGCTCAATGACATAATCCTAAGAATAAATGTATTGTAAGTGTATGGCCAAACACAAGAGAATATCTGTCATCAAGTAGCTAGAAGTGCCACATGGTTTTTGTATCACTGTGCCGGAGCCACTGAGTGCTGTGCAGCACTTGCGGCTCTTCTGAGAAAAATACCACATACTGCTTCAGCACTCCCTCAATCCAGAGCAGATGCTTTTAAGTAATCCTTAACTGGCAGAAGTAAAATCTTGCTGGGTGTGTCTTCTTCTGGGCAGAAGAGGCTAAAACTCACAGAATTTGACATGTACAGCTTTTAGTGGTGTATTTTGAATGGACTGTGGGACAGTGTCTTGTGGCAGCACAGCTAAACAGATAGAGGTCACTGGCAGTCCTCTGTACGAGGATCAAAGTCTGGGTCCCTTGGTGGTGCACATGATACCAGGCTAATCATTTGGCCTCTTTATGGCCTGTTTCTTCTAGTGTTTCAGGATAATGCACATTATGGACATTTGGAAGAAAAAAACTTGGAAGAAAGGAACTATACTATTGCTACTACTACATTGACTATTACAGTTGCAGCTGTGCTTTCAGAATCACAATCAATAATACATCACTCATTTAAAGATTATTCTAGATTTCTCCAAAAATACCTCTTGGGCTAGCCCTATTCTTCATCTCTTCATTTTTCTTCACTGTAAATGTGTATAGCTCTGTCATTAATGTGTTTACAGGTAATTTTTAACTGGACTTATTGTCGCTGTCTTCATGCTTTTTCTTGCTAATCAGACGTTATGCTAGATTTCCTTGCTTGGTAATTTTTTTTTTCCCAGAAAATGGTGTGTTTCCATTTACTGTTTGAAAACTAGCACTTAAATGGAGTGTTAAATCACTTCTGGAAACTGGGCCTAAAATAAATGGTTATACTCTATGAAAAACCACATCAACCTCTTGACCCTGCTCTTGTCTCTTTCCAGAGGCATGTTAGGAACAGCTGTGTATACAAATTGAATGTACTCTCTATCTTCAGTCCTTTACTAGGACCCTTCCTGGTATTTGAGTGCTCATTGCAACTCTATCATAGTTCAAATCCATCCTCTCCTCCTAAATCTGCAACTACCTTCTCAGCTTTCCTCTCTGTTTCCTGCCTCTCCTGCAGCCCTTACCATTACAATCTGCAGGTGCTCCCCCTTCCCCCCCACCTCTCCTGTGTGTCACTTTCAAAGCACTCTGCATTACTCATTTCACTGGTGAGCCCTCTGAGTTCAACTGAATTGCTGTTAGCTTCCCAAATAGTTAAAAAAAAATTACACCATTGTATTAAAATCAGAGAATTAAACATTGGACAGTGTTGAACCAGTCAGCATGGATTTTGCCATTTCTGGGGAGGAGGAGCTTTATGGTCTTTGTTTCTCACAAGTGTTGGGCAATGACGCTTTAAAGAAAAGAGCCTTAATTTTTCAACATGGGAAACAAAAAAGGAAGAAAATTATCTGTAATAAAATAAGAAATAAGAATACAGGATAGAACTTATTTTGTGGCCATGGTAGCAATAGTGAATATTTATACATAAAAGGATCATTCAGCAATCACCTCTTTCTGGCAGCAGATGATGACTGAGGTTTTTGTTGCTCCTGGGTAATTGGTGCTAGTGGAGCAACAAAGGACTGGAAAGCCTGATCTTGCACCAGCCAGACCCAAATTTTCAACCTAGTTTCTGAATAAAAAGCTAGGGAGAACAAAAAGAAGGGAGGAGGAATTTTTCTGCAGTCTTTCTTTCCGGAAGGGAAGAAAAATGTGAACAAGTGAATCCTCACAGCAGCAGGTAGAGACAAGTCTTTCCTCTTCTGTCCTAATTCAGCAGTTGGATCGAAGCCTGGGATGTTCACTGGGGAACCTTTCTTGTAGCCTCCTGCTCTAGGGGGTGGCAGACAGTCCCACAGCCTGTTCTGACATTCAGGAGTAAAGGCAATGATGAAGGAAAGCTCTCCATGGCTTAAACAGGAAGGCAGGGGTAAGAAAAGAGATCATTCATACAGTCTTTATTTCTCTTGATGTGGAGCTTGTATCCTGGTGCTATTCTGTGTGGATGTCCCCTGATGTCAGTGGAATTAGTGTCAAGGGAGGAACAGCAGCATGTTCCACAGGCATGGTTGCAAGGCAAGGAAGAGATCTCCCAGGGACCTCCTGAATTTATGAAGGCAGTGGAATAGTAGATCTGAAAATGAATACTAAGTGTGAAGTGGGGGGCTGGGATATTTCAGCTCATTAGTGATTGTTAAAAATAACTATTACTCTGTGAGTGTAAACAGTATTGAGTACGCCCGTGCTTAGAATGAGGTTGAGCAAGACGCTTCTTCACAAGCCACTTATTATGCATGGTCATCTACAATCATTGCTTTTTACACTGAGCCTTTCAAAGTGTGTGAAAAACACTTTATACTCCTGAGTGTGTCTAAGTTGATTTCACACAGTCCAGCCCAAGCTGCCATGTGCAATTATTTAGTTATTATTTTATGTGCCTTTCTAATATAAGATTCTTTGAGCAATGGTAGATATGTAATTGATTGCTCTTTTTGTAAAGTATTAGCTTCAGCTAGTAACCAATCTATTACCAAATGTTTCTTGGAATGAGCAGCTTTCTCCCTGACAGTAATCTCATTGGTTGTGACAAGACATGATCAGGTGACAATGAGACTTTCTCCATAACACTACAGTAAATCACACTCAATAAGAATAAAGAGACTTGAGTAAAAATAATTCTATTTTCTATTAACAAAGCCCTTGGCAATTGGCAGTCAGTGCCACAATGGCAATACTACAGACGCTGCTGGAGAAGTGAGAGATTGTTGTCCAAAACAGAAAAAGTTAGTAGGAAGCTCAGTTTAAGTCAGCTTTCTACATATGCTCACTTTTCACTGCTGGTTCTGACAAACTTTTTGGGGTGAATGTTTTAAAGCTTCTCTCCCTTTGTTGTTGGGAAAAACTTAATCCCTGGTATCTGTTAAAGCTATATCCAATTTACCTCCATGGTCATTACACTCCAAGATAATATATTTTAACAATTACACACAGAGGTACATATTTTTTATCTTTTGTATCTTACAGTTAGCATTGCATTTATTTATTGTATTGTATTGCTGTTGTGTCTCATGGACAAAAAGCAATCTCATGGCAGGAAGGTCTGTTGCTGTTCCAGTGTTATCAAAAGGGAGATAGTTCCATATTCAGC